CCCGGCTATTTTTTGGTTGCAGCTGACATTGTTGTTTGGCGGGCCTGGGCTGGATTCGAACCCGCCACCTTGGGTGTACATGGCTGGCGCCTTAGCCACTTGAGCCACAGGCGCCGAGCCTTTTTTTTTTAAGGAGACAGAGTCTCACTATGTCACCGTCAGTAGAGTAATATGGCATCACAGCTCACAGCAACCTCCATCTCTTGGGCTTAAGTGATTCTCTTACCTCAGCCTCCTAAGTAATTGGGATTATCAGTGCCCGCCACAGGACCCAGCTATTTTTTTGTAGCAGTTGTCATTGTGGTTTAGCAGGCCCGGGCCTGGGTCGAATCCACCAGCCTCAGTGTGTGTGGCTGGCGCCCTACTCACTGAGTTAAGGGTGCTGAGCCCACAAAGATCTATTTTTATAGAACAACTCATGGTAATGGGACTGTTGTTTTTTTAACCCACTTTGGAAAAAACCTGCATACTCTGTTGACTTCTGGTCCTAACTCTAAGTCAGATTAGTCCAGGTGTTAACTGCTTCAAAGACCAAGCAATGCTATAAAAAATCAGCACCTTTTCAAGAAAACGTCCTAATATCTGTACTATAATTTTATTTCATTTTTTAATTTTGGGAGTCAGCCATGGAGGTGTTCTCTTTGGAATAGGGCAGTGATCTCCAGATATAGACCACTGAAGATTGCCTACAGAGGGAGCCATGGGGCTGTGGGTTACTCAGACCAGGGGTTCTCAGATCAGGCATTAACAGCTAAAATAATTAAACAGAGAGAATAAGACCCTTCTCTGACCAGTGAGGAGGCTGTTCCAACAGTCTAGGGGAGTGGAGAGGGCTTCCACTAGGGTAGTGGCCATTCTAGTAAAAAAGAAAGGACATCAGGGCCGGGCGCAGTGGCTCATGCCTGTAATCCCAGCACTCTGGGAGGCCAAGGCAGGTGGATCACCTGAGCTTAGAGTTTGAGACCAGCCTGAGCCAGAGTGAGACCCTGCCTCTAAAAATAGCCGGGCGTTGTGGGGGTTACCAGTAGTTCCAGCTACTTGGGAGGCTGAGGCAAGAGAATTGCTTGAGCCTAGGAGTCTGAGGTTACTGTAAGCTATGACGCCATGGCACTCTACTGAAGGCAACAAAGTGAGACTCTGTCCCCCCCTCCCCCCAAAAAGATGGGACATCATAAAGAATTGATAGAACTTGGTCATCAATTAGATTAGCCTTTTTTTGGCTGTATTGTTAGCACTTGGGAACAATTCTGGGCCTGAACCAGCTCAGCTATTAGATAAAGTTGTGCCAGTTTTCTTTGCTATCTCCCAGGATCCCAATATACAGCTTGAGTTCTCTGTAGTTCATATAGATCAGGGGTCGACCCACATTTGCTATAAAAGGCTAGAGAGTAAATACTTTAGGCCACGAGGGTCACACAGTTCCTATCACAACAACTCTGCCATTGTATGTAGTGTGAAAACACTCATGGATAACCCATAAACTAAACCAATGGCTGTCACTGTGTTCTAATAAGACTATAGGAACAAATAGTGGGTCAGATTTAGTTTCCAGCCATAGTTTGCTGCCTAATCTGGAAGTGAGATTTCTTTTCAGCTAGCTACAAATGCATTTATTCATCACGTATCTCAGCTTGTTACATTTGTTGACAGACAGCGATGGTCTTTTAGAAATTCTTCTCTCCACTTCTGTTTCTGTAAAGTGACACTGTGTTCTGGTTCTGTAGTCTCTGTCCATCTTTATCTCTCTTTGGCTGGCTCTTCTTGTGCAACCACCCCACCCTACTTGCACCCCAGGCTCAGTCTACAACCCTCAATGCTTCTCCCTCAGGGTGTCAGCTTTCACCTCTATGGTGGGGAACTCGTAATCAATATCTCCATTCTGTTTCTCCCTTGATTCTTTTCCTATCTCCAAACTCAAACAGTGCTTTGTCTGGATCAAATACTATCTCAAATTGTTTAATAGTTACCATACACCCGATTACAATGCACGTCACAGTAAGGCATTTGGACTCAGCCCCACAGGCAACAAGTAAGCGACGCTTCTTCAGAATTCCTGCAATACCCCAGGGATGAAAAAGCAACAATCTCTATCCCAAGTGCACCAGAGAATGGTATTTTGTGCACAGCAGAGGCAGGATAGATGCTATCATGATACAAGGAAAAGGCCAGGCACTGTTGCTCATGCCTATAATCCTAACACTCTGGGAGGCCAAGGCGGTTGGATTGCTTGAGTTCTCAAAGTCAAGACCAGCTTGAGCAAGAGCGAGACCCCCATCTCTACTAAAAATAGAAAAACTGAGGCAAGAGGATCGCTTAAGCTCAAGTTGGAGGTTGCTGTGGGCTATGATGCCACAGCACTCGACCCAGGGCTGCAGCTTGAGTGCACCAGCAAAGGCTTTTTCCTCCAGTGAGAAAGGGACTGGGGATGAGGTATTACTTTTGAGTCATTGTTAGGAATGGACGGAGTGACTTTTTTTATCTCAAGCTAATAAACATTTCTGACTCACAACAGAATGGCCAACCTTGTATACAACAAAAATTGCAACAAAAGAGATGGAAAGGGGATGGATTTGGGAGTTGGGAAGACAGTCAGATACCCTTTCTTTCTGCACCCCCTGCCACCAATTGGCAGAAGGGTACACAGAGGTTTTGGTGTGGATGGCTGTTGCCACCATTACCATGAAGGCCAAGACTCATTAGGCTTGTCTCAGGAGTGTTCACAGACATCACTACCATCCCTGAGATGCCACTGCTTTATTTGACCTTTTTTTTTTTTTTTTTTTGCAGTTTTTGGCCGGGGCTGGGTTTGAACCCGCCACCTCTGGCATATGGGGCTGGCGCCCTACTCCTTGGAGCCACAGGCACCGCCCTGCTTTATTTGACCGTTATCATCTTCCTCCCAGACCAATACTTCCCAAGGTATGTGTGAATACAAGTATGTTGAGATCCTGAGCTTCTCAGCGTCTGGGTCCTATTGCCTTTGGCTATGAACTACCGTATCTGTGCACGTACATACGCCTCATCTGTTTGTACATTTTGTTACATACATTGTGATATTTTCCCATAATATGGGAATTGTTGGGGCACACTAACCCAGGCGTCCTCAAACTATGGCCTGTGGGCCACAATGAGGCCTGCCTAGGACATTTATCTGGCCCGCCAGGTGTTTTTGCCGCCACTGCCTGTCCTGCTTAGCAGCCAACTCGTCCTGGGGCCCGCAGTCCAGCCCTCCAACAGTCTGAGGGACAGTGAACTGGCCCCCTGTTTAAAAAGTTTGAGGACCCCTGCACTAACCTAAGGACTTCCAATGGCCTCCTGATTGTGCTCTCTGCCTCTAGCCTCTACCCACTTAGCTCGACTTCACCTCCATATTGCTACATGAGGGGTCTTTCTAAAGTACAGTCTCACTGTCATTTAAGAACCTTTTTTTTTTTTTTTTTGAAATAGAGTCTCACTTTGTTGCCCCCGGGTAGAGTGCAGTGGCTCCATAGCTCACAACAACCTCAAACTCAAGAGATTCTCTTGCCTCAGCCTCCCAAGTAGCTGGTTCTATAGGCACCTGCCGTACCACCTGGTTAGTTTTTCTATTTTATTTTTTTAGTAGAGACAGGTCTTGCTCAGGCTTCCAGAGTGCTAGGATTATAGGCATGAGCCATCATGCCCGGCCTAAAAACTTCAATAGCTCATCAGCTAGGCTGGGGGCAGTGGTTCACGACTATAATCCCAGCACTCTGGGAGGCAGAGGTGGGTGAATTGCCCTGAACTCATGGGTTCAAGAGCAGCCTGAGCCAGAGCAAGACCCCCATCTCTAAAATTAGCTGGGCATTGTGGTGGGCACCTATAGTCCCAGCTACTTGGGAAGCTGAGGCAAGAGAATCGCTTGAGCCCAAGAGTTAGAGGTTGCCATGAGCTAGGATGCCACAGCACTCTACTGAGGGTGACAAAGTGAGACTCT